TTTTAATTTCAGTTCTTAAACTCATCAATCAATCCTTTCATTTATGTGATAGACCTACATTTAAAATGAACATTTACCACATATTAAATGTATCTTATATTATTAGATATGTTATTATAAACATGCTTTAGTTAAGGGGTTATTAATACTTCAAGTGCAAAATGATGATATCAAACCTTAATAAAAATACACTTTTAAGTACCAATCAAATACCTTTTCATTTGGATCTCTAATCAGACTTGCAAACTTGAGTTACAATTCTACTCGCAGTAGAATTCTTTATTTTCACACTAGGTTTTCAAACGGAAATATCTTAAGGTTTAGATATCAAAATCCAGCAATTCAAAAGCTCAAATTCACCTACATATTTAGGAAGACAACTTTCATGAAATATTCCAAGTCAGATAAAATCATTTTGAAGGCCTAACCCTGGACGTAATCAAAAGGTCAAGATGGGTTTCCTGATCTGATCAGGAAACTAACAATGTTGAGTATCTCATTACGGTTGAGAGTCTAACATAAAAACGGCGGGCCTTAGGATCCAAGAAAGATGTAGATCAAGCCTCCAACATGCTATGAATGAATAAGATGGGATGGTAAGATATTGCAAGAAGCAAGTCAGAAACAAAGTCGAAGTTGCTATAGAGTTGGAATTAGAATAGAGTTAGATATTGCAAGAAACCAAGTCAGAAACAAAGTCGAAATTGCTATAGAGTTGGAATTAGAATAGAGTTGTGACAATAACAAAATTAGTTTTCAACATAAATTCCGAGAGTTATCCAATCTTAGATACCAAATAAAGAAGTAATGAGTTAAGTATCATGAAAACTTCTAATTAACCTAATAATCTTGAAGAAATTTGGTAGCTAAGAGAGATTATAAATAGAGCAGAATACAACTGAAATAGGGTATGAAAAATATTTCTTTCTTCTATGTTTTTGTCATTTTTCTAGCAACTATTAACTAAATTCCTGAATTCGGTTTAAGAGGGATACACATCATCTTTATTAGCAAGTTGAGAAGTAAAGTTATCATTTTAATTCTTTCAGATTCAAGTATTTATTTTTTTCGTATTCAGAATTATGCTATTGATTATTATTCAATTTTATTAAATTGTTTTGAGATAACATGTATGCTGTCTAGTTTTTTTTTTTTTCAATCTATAATTGTTGTTAAGGACTAAAGTAAGAAGCAAAAGAATTAATTAGATTACCACAACTCTCATCTTGATTTATTAGGGAAGAATAAACTAAGTTAAATTATTAAGCTTTTAAACATTTACTTAGAATAAATGCATATAGTTTATTCCTAGACTATTGTTGAATGAATGAAAATTGCTTTCAATATTACATTTACTTGATAGTAAGAAATTGATTAGAGAACTTTTTTTAATTAATGTACTCGTAATCTCATTGAGTTCCCTCAGCTTTAAGGGTTATCAAATTTATTTGCTTGACATGAAAGAATATTTATTTTACTTTGATAATCAACAAAATTATAGGAATGAATGTGTGGAGTCTTGAACTGATTTAACGTCATATTAATTTATTATTTTTAAAATTATTGTTTCATGATTTTTTCATTCAAATCCCCTGTTCTATCTCATTTCAGTATATTATAGGAAGATTACATGAAATTTTTCTTTGGTTCGATCAAGATTTCACGATCATACTATATATTTATCTTATTTGTAATAATTAGTCAAAATTATATTTTAGTGGTTTTGACAACCAACCAAATATCAAGCTTATCTGTATTTTATTTTTACCAGAAAAATTTCTTTTTATTTTTTTATAATTGAATTAGTGTGAGTGATTGCCCATAACAAAGTAGGTTGAATTAGAACTCTATTTTTTTTTCCGTGGTTCTCAGTTGATTTAATTAAATGCATGTATGAGCTTCTTGATTTATGATTATAGTTTTTTTTCCCTCAAAAAATGATATTAAAAAAACATGCTCTATCATTTTTTTAATAAAAAAATTACATCTCGTAACGAGGCTCAAGTTAACAATTTATTTAGTTAGATATGTGCATGGTCTTTTTAATTTATTATTTGTCTTTTCCCTACAAAACATTAAGAACATATCTATTTTTTATTTTTTGCTAAATTTTAAAAATATTTTAATATGCCAAGTTCTATTATTTATTTAGTAAATAATTTTTTTTTTGAGGAATAGGACCTAATTGATCATTAATAAACTATTTTTTTTTTAGGAATAGGACCTAATTGATCATTAATAAAAAAGCTAATTTTCTATCTTCATGCTAGACAAAGATAATTTCTCGTCACATTTGTCCCAATTAGGAAGGTGATTTTGATATGGTGCATTAGATTGTCTAGCGTGCACCATATGACCTTGAAATAAATGAAAATAATCAAATATTGGAATATTCATAAAATAGACAGCTGTTTATTCAGGACCTTCGAATTTCCTCCCAATCATTCCAAAGTGGCTATCATGGACAAAGATGAAGATCCAGCTATAAATCATACATGGAATCTAACACAATTCCATCATTTTTAACCACTAATCCTCATCTGTCAAGGCTTCCCCTCCATCGGTAGTATTGCCTTCTTGTCCCTTGCAAGGACCATATGCCTTGCAACAAGCACGATAATATATGAAGTTGGCCAAACTCAAACCAGCAAGAAGCCAATAATAGTAATCGTAATGTCCCTTGTTAATGTTGCTTGAAAGCCAGCTCTCCTGATCGTTTCCCTTGAAGAAGTTGCGGACAATAGTTACTAGCAAACTTGCTATCAAGTTGGAAACAGACAGTCCCATCTCGAACAGATTGGAGGCTACACTAGACATGCTCTTAGGCAATTCAGTATAGAAGAACTCATTCTGTCCAATACCACAGAAAGCCTCAGCAAATCCGGTTATGAAAAAGTATAGCAATAGCCACAATGCTGAAATGTGCAGCACGGAATTAGGGTCATCATAAAATCCTTCTTCGATCGCAGTTTTTCGCCGAACACTCTCTATAATTGCCAATGCTGCCATTGCAGCAGATGATGATAGGATGCCAATTCCTATTCTTTGTTTTAAGCCGAGACGACTTGGTTTTCCCCTGATTTTTGATGCTAGAGGGATGACTACACGATCGTAGAGAGCAATCCATATTACTGAAGAAAATAACTGAAATGCAGTGAAGGAGCCAGCAGGAACTTGGAATTTTGAAGTAATGTGCCTGTCCATAGTTGATGCCTGGAGGACTATAAAAGAGTGTTGGAGAACATTTATAGACATCAAGACCCCTGTGGACCATATTGGGATTACCTTGATCAGTGATTTAAGATCTTCTACTTCATCTACTGTACAAAGACTCCATGGATTTGAAGCTCTTCCATCTGGGATCAAGTCTTCCGTAGGATTTCTAATGGCGCAAGCTTTGTTTAGAAACCTAAGACAAGGTATAAAATACAAAACAAATACTTTTTAGGAGTCATCATAGAATCCTGACATAATAGAATCCTATTGAGGAAAAATCTTGGATATAAGACGGAAATTAATTTTAGGGCACAAAGTTTTTGAGCATATAATGATACCTTAATTTTTCAGATGGGACGAGAAGTCTTGATCCTTTCCTATGATGATACACATCATCTGTGACTTGGGATGATAACTTGATACTTCTATTTCTAAAGGATGCTACCAAAACTCGAGCAAATCCATCCAGCCAGCCTGCCTTAGCCTTTGACTTGACATAAATGGGAGAAGCTAAGAAGAAGGAAAGAGTTGACAGAATCATGAGCACCACAGGAATTCCAAACCCCACCTTCCACCCCAAGTTATCTTGAATGTATAAAATACAGGTCATGGCAAGGAACACCGCAACCGAGACTGTCGCATAGTACCAGCTGAAGAAGCTCTCTAGTATTCCAGCACGTTTGAGGTTGTCCCTCTTGCCCAACTGATCAGCACCAAAGGCCAAGGACGATGATCTTATGCCGCCAGCTCCAATGGCCATGAGGCCTAAAGAAGAATATAAAAGCAGGAGCTGCAATGTCGATGCGGATTCGCAACTGTCATGGAATTGGACACAAGGAGGTGGTCTTGCTCCTGGAATTATAGTTGTTAACCATAGTAGAATCACGCCCTGTACAATAAAATTAGGTTGATTTCTGCTATTGTGAGGTTGGTATATAGACTTGGAGTTAGTCCTCTCTTTTCGATTTAGATGAATAGTTGGTCTTCTTTTCAATCTCACAATTCCATATTTCTGGAATTAAAACAATATTTTGAACTTGAATCTCGTTTTGATGCAATGAGAATTGTAAATTCACGGATTCCTTTTTTATTTCTTAACTTTTGTTACAAAACCTTAGTTATTGGAATAAAAAAATCTCTAATCTTTTTGACCCTTACAACCAAGTAATCCCCCCCCCCCCCCCCCCCCCCCCC